TCGCATAATAATTTATGATGAAATACATAATTAAAAATTCGAAATTAAAGTATGAAATTGTAAATTTTCAAATATAATGTTTATAGTATATATCAGAATAATAGCAGAACAAATTGTCATAATGACTTATATATGAAATGATTTATATATAAAAATTTATCTGATTTATCTTTGTTTGACTGATATATATTTATAATAGATATATTGAATATATATATATATATATATATATACATACATACATACATATATATCAGAGTTAGACAGTAACCTGCTAATTCAGTTGAAGGTTGAATTAAAGTTAATAACACGTAACTTAGTTAAGTTTAGATGAATTGACTCTTAATTTAAATTTAGTTACTTTCTACGCATTAATTCTAACTTATTTACTTTTTTTTTTGTTAAGTTGAAATATTTCATATGTAATTTTGCGTAATTAACTTTTAACTTGAATAAATCTAATTTCATTTTAACTTGACTCTTAATTGAGTACTTTACTTATGCAACTTTTAACGTAAACTTAGTTAATTTATAGGAATCAAATTTAACATAATTTAGTTAAAAAAAATTAACGTACCCAAACTTAATATTGGTACGCATTTATTGTGTGTATAAATATATCCTTACGTTATTAATATTAATAGCACTGAAACATCCATGTTTGGTTTTTCATAGCCTTGTACTGACAATGTTAATTTCGACAAAATCTGATGAAGATTTAGTAAATATATCTGATTTACATACGATATTGTAAATGCATTAGCACAGAGATTTGCAGATTAACAAATCATCGCTTCGATTTATTTACGATGTCGCAAATATACTTGGGAAACGGCGTGCGCTGTGATACATTTTTACACGTAGCCAGCCCGGCATCTTCCTTTTCCTCTCTCGTGCGATGAACCTTACGCCGGATACTCGAGATGCCGCGTTTCACGTTCAAACGCTCGCGCACGCGTGCGTGTCCCGACAGGAATCGACAACGCCGGATGGTAGACGGCGCGGCCGGCAGATGTCGCGGCGAGTGCGGCGTCGCTATCGGCGACGGACGATGGGGCGGTCAAAGCTGCGCGAAGTTTCGGGAAGGGCGGTCGCGTTACGCTTTCCTCGTCGCGCGATTCGCGGAGAGTCGGGGTATCACATATTCGTGTGCGCGGCGGCGGCGGCCGGTCGATGCGAGGGGAAACGCCGCGGCGAGAGAACGCAACGGAAAAATGACGGCGTGTCGCCGTGTGCCGATTTGACAAGTGAAGAGGAAACGCTCGGATGGGAACAGTGTCTCGTTCGAATACCGCGGTGCTCGACGCTTGGGGACTTTGAAAGGTATCCCTGCCAAGGCGCAACCCTGCGTGCGATCCGATCCTTTCTCTACTCTTTAGTAGAAGCGTCCTTTTATTTCTCTATTTCTCCCGCCTGTATTTCTATTTCTCTCTCGCTCGCTCTCTCTCCCTCTCTCTCTCTCCTTCTCTCTTCCGTTCGCTCGCTCGCTCGAATCTTCGTACGTTCGCCCATCCGTCCTGCCCCTTTCTTTTTCGTCCTGCTGTATAATTCGCCTCTCGCGCATCAGGGTGAGCGTTTCGACTTCGTATCGTTCGATAATCGTGCGGATTTGAGGCGCTGCGGCGTCCTCGAGCCGCAGCACAAACTCGGCCGAAGTGCGGGAAAAAGGGTTCGAGAGATCGATCGCGCGAGAAATACGCCGCACCGAAGAGACAGACCCGGCGCCGTCGACGCTAGTATGTATATATATATATATATATATATGTATATAAAATATATATATATACCACCTATGCGTACAACGCCAACGGAATGCCGGTTTAGTAATCGCGGAAGCTCACGGGATGTACTACCGTTTCACGCCGAGTCTTCCTCCGCTCGCGCCCCCTTCCCCCCCTTTTTATTTCGTCGACGAGCAAGCCGGTGCAGTCGATCGCCGATGAACGCGTCCGCGAACGGATTATCGTCGAGCGATTTATTCAGCGGTGCCAGAGTCGCAAGGTAGGATGTTTTGCCGAGTATCGACCCGCTCTCTCCGCCCCCCTCCTTTTCTGCCGATAACCATTTTGTCAAATTTCCAGACGCCATGATAAACGCAAAAATGACGATTACACGCAAACCTGCGCGCGTTCTATTGGCTGAGTTCGCGCGATTTAGACGTCACTCGGCGACGGGAGAATCGTTGTGGTCTGTTCTTTATAGCTGAACCGACTGCACCAGTTGAAGAAATTTACACGCCGAAGCGTGTGTGAGAGTCCTGTATATAACCTCCCCATACGTTTCAACGTGTAGTAAATCTCTTGAAATACGCATGCATTTCAGCTATGAAAAACGGATCCGTGATATCACGTCGAAGATGAAAACTCGATACGCTGACGCACGTCGACGCGTCACTCCGAACTACGAGAAAGAGATACATTCCGCGCGATCGTCTGTCGCGTATCTTTAAATGAGACATTTGCGAACCCCGAAGCCCGCCGTGTACCTGCATCAGGACACCCGTATCCCCGTTGACCCCGCTGCTCGTTCATTCTCACAAGCGATAACCTTGCGGTATGCACTGCCAAGTCGGAGATTCACGACTCGACCGCGATTCTTTGCTGTCAAACAGCCGTCAAATGACCCATTGATCGCCACTGAGCGAAATTAAAGAACCATCGAAACATATTCTCTTACTCTCTCTCTTTCTCCCTCTTTCTCATTTCAATCGCCACAACCTAACGGTGTATGTGTATGTGTGTACACACACACACACACACATCGGCGGCGAAGGAAGCAGTGGGAGGCGGGCGTACGACGGCAATAACAACAAAAAGCATAACAGAGGAAAAAGACGGGCGCTACCGCCGAATTCCGAGAAGGAACCCGCCCCTCTTCGCGCGACGGGATCGAGTCAGCGAGACGTCGTCGCCGGGTGTTCCGTCCGCGAACGTCGGGAGAGAGTCGGGACGATCGGCGCGGCCGCTTTTATCGCCGCGCTCTCGAGAGGCGCGCAGTGCTCGAACGGACACGCTCGAATCGATTTTCCCGGTGGTTCTGCCGTCGACCGTCGTGCGGGCTTACGTACGTACCGTGCACTTCCTCGGGTACTCGCGGCTCGCCTAGCGCGGCCGGTTTAATTCCTCGTCATCGGTGAATATTCGCGATCACGCTTGTCGCGAGACCCCTCCTACACGATCCCCCTGTGCCTCGTCACTCCCCCGGTTCCCCCGCGTTCCCGCCCAAAAGCGTGGAAGCTCGTCTCGCTTTCGTCGCCCGGGCTCGTCCCCGTGTAAGTCGTCTTCGTGGCGCGTCGCCCAAGTTCGTAGAATCGTGGTGCGCAGTGCTCCGAAGAGGGAAGCCGCGCTCCAGGCGACGCGAACGTCCGAGACGGACGTCGCCGGGACGCGTCTTCCGGGGACGACCCAAAGCTCCGAGAGACTCGCTCGCTCTCTTTCTCTCGGACTTTCGTGTCGCCCGGCTGTGTCGGAGGACCGTACGCGCACCGTGGGCGAGACCGTCGACGATCTTTCACCGCCGATCTTGCGACCGTGGCGAAAAACGAGTGAGTGAGCGAGAGAGAGGAGAGAAGAGGCGCGGCGTTTACAATGTGTTTTCGGACCGTTTCGTCATGTACGGTTTTAACGCCCGTATCGTTTCGACGGCCGCTAAAAATAACGTTCCCCGTCTCTCCCTTTCTCCTCCTTCTCCCTCTCTCTCTCTCTCTCTNTTTTCTCTTTCTCCCTTTCTCGATATTTTGTCTCGTCACCGTTATGATGATATGAGATTCCGTATGATTCGCGAGGAGATTCGAGCGACTCGAGTTGGCGGTTTCGTCAGGTCCAAAGTCGCGTCTCAGGTGGACCTTGCGCGAACTGTTACTACGACCCGCTCTCTTCCGGACGCCTGCGAACGTCTTCGCACAACGCGATATCGAAGTCGCGCGCTGCACTCGCAGTTACATTAATCAGTCCGGAACTTGCCATCGCGCTTTTAACGCGTTAACCTTTCACGTTGCAATTTAGCGTATAAACTTTTGCGCGTTAACTATTTAACGTTCCACATTCCGACAGTTTAACGTTTCATGCTGACGATTTCGAGTTAGCGATTCACGTTACAGTACTTTCACATTAATTAACGTTTCAAGCGCTGACGATTTAACGCTGGTGCTTCGCGTTGACAGTTTGCGAACGTTAAACCGCGTGTTCTCCTTCGCGGATAACGATGTTCCACTTCTTTGAGGGAGAAGCTAAAAAACAATACACGCAATGGTATAGAATACATATATATATATATATATATCCATCGGGTCGCACGCAGAACGTCATAGGCGAGTGCGCGCTCGTCGTCGTCGTCATCGTCGCGATCGCGCTTCCGCCGCCCGCTCTCTCATCTCTGACGGGTTCGACACCGCGCAGATACCGGGATCCCGCGAGCCCTGGACCGAGAAGGTTGGGAATTAACGAGCGGAAATATCGGGGGAGCGGGGGAGGCGAGAACGACGGCGGCGAGGGTGTGAGAGGGTGGTGAATCGACGGAGCAGTCGAAGACGGGGCGAGGATGACGGGCGAGGACGGGAAGGGCGGCGGCGCCGTCACCGGCGGCACCGGGGCGAACGTCACCGACAACGCTAACAACGTAAACGCGAACGTGAACGTCAGCCAGCAGAACGGCGGACCGGAAAAGGCGCCTGTCGTCGGCGGCACCAACGTGGAGACGCTGCCACGCGCCGGGAAGCAGGTGAGTTTTTGGCGTGTCGACGTTGAATTTTTTTTTTGTTTGCTAAACCGGCTCGCGCATCCGGAACGATCCCCTTCGGCGGCACGCGCTATTTTCGCGTGTATCACATTTCTTCGGCCGCAAATAAATTTGCGCCGAGAGAGTGCGACAGGTGATTTCGAGGTGCTTTGTTTACAAACCCGTGCGGAGGACAGACGCGCGAGAGAGAGACGTCGTTTCCGTTGAGTAAGCGAGAATACACGATGTAACGATTTGTTTCGTTCCTCTCTATTATTATTATTATTATTTTGTTTGGTTTTCGGGCCGCGGCTTTTTGCGCGCACGAAGGGGTTTGCGAGACAAACGCCGGAATAATGGTATGGAAGGCACACGACGTTGAAACGCTAAAAAACCGGTTTCGCTGAATCGAGCGAGCGGCCGATTTAGCGATTTAACCTCTCTTTCCTTTTTATTAGTGCCTGTCAGTGTTGTTGAACGTAGAGAGAAAATTTACGTAATCAAGGTTGGCTCCGAGTGAGAAGAGCGTCGGCGACGCTCCATCGTGGCTCTAGGCTTCTTCCTCTATATTGCATTCACCACATTCCTCCCGGTGTCTAAATATATACTTAATATATTTGCTCGAAAATGCAGACAGTTCGAGTCAGTATAAACAACGAGATTCCGAATATTCCCCCTTTGTCCTCGGCACTCCAATGCCGGCGAAAGATACCATTATTTCACAAATGGAAATTATTTCACAATTAGAAGCTACAGTACAGTTTTATGCTGTGTATTTTACGATTATATACCGCCGTATAATTTCGGCATAATTTCTCGCGCAATTTATAACACGGTTCGTGGCGCGATTAACAGTGCAATTAATAATACGTCTTACAGCATAATTTACAACGCAATTTATGCATTATACACACGAAGACAACTTCTCCTTAATTACACGCACTAATTAAGACACAACACGCTAGGAAATGGTTACGCCAGCGTTAGAAAAAGTTTTGACCTTCGTGAATTCAAATAGATCTCGGGAGAAAGCATGCGAGCCGAAAACGCCTCCGCGGAAATACCCCACCCATGTCCGTACTCTCGTTACAATGCGGCGGTGGTCGCAATTGTGTGCGATTACGTTTAAAAAATTCACCATATATATACCACACGCAACAACCCGGGAGTTTCCCGGCGCATCGCCGCGCGCGGTGTACCGGGTTCGTCACGAACCCGTGTATTTTCGGCCACGTGGGGGCGGGGGAGGATTGCGAGGTTCGTATTATCGCAAATAATAGGCCTCGTACGTATGTATATAACATCTAATTACCATTTACGGCCTCGCGCTCAACCGTTCCGCCGCGCAACGTCTGCTCGCAATTTTCGATCGCGTGGATGAAGCGCGAAGAGAGAAGCGCGCGCGAGGGTTCGACACTGTCTCGCAACACTGTCAAGTGTAATCAGTGTATTATATCACTTGGGAGTAGTCACTGTCGTAGTTATAAATATGGACCGGTAAATTGGTAAAATTTCGTTGATAAAGTCGGTCACGATAACAGCGTCCGGTTTCATCAGGGAAATCTGATTGCATACTGAGAAAGGATACCTAAGAATTTATTTGCGGAACATAAGATCCACTTCGTAGAAGTAAGGCTTATCTCTGTTGGAGATAAACCTTATATCTTACAAATGAATTTTTAAGTATCTTTTTTTTTTCAGCGCAGAAACAATGAAAAAGAAAAGATATTTATTTGTTCTTTTTGGATCTGCTACTACACGAACCACGTAAAGTAGGACATGTGATACTTGAATATGTACATACACATGAATATGTACATGCGTAAGAAGATTTTAAATTTTGTAAAATCACTCCCGGAGATTGGTGGGACCTGTAATGTCGGTGATCACCGATCACTCAAGCATTTCCTCTTGAGAGAACGTTCGACGTTCGCTTCGCTAAATTGCATATTGGCTGAATTTCGCCGGGTTCCCCTGCGAAACGTGCCGCGACGATCGCAGCACGACAGCGTCGATTCCGATATCCTGTGTGTGAGCGCGTATCCTCGTGAGACAAAGTGTCAAGCGCGACGTCTCTCGTTCGAAGATCGCTACTTTTCCGGAGGCTCTCTATTTACGGAGTCGAGCGCCTGCCGGAGGGGGTCGGAGTGGAAGGAGGCGTGAAAACTACGCTAGCACACCTTCGTCGCGCGGACTTTTGTTACGTTAACTTGCATGCAAAGTGATCATTAAAACGAGCGAGCGATTGTTGCGGCTCAAAGGTCACGGTTACTCCAGGACGTAGGCTGCTGCTACTGTTGCGAAGGCAGCGATAAAGTAGGCAGAGATAGGTGGGGGGAGGGGGGAGGATGCACACGTGTTCACGGCAGCGGAGATCCTGACGAGCGCTCTCTTCGGGATTTAGAAAAGAAACGAAGCCCCGTCCGCGTCGAAAGAATAGAGCGCGCGCGTGCAGTTCTCGTCGGGAGGATAAAAAGGCCGAAGAATGTCAACCTGCCTCGCTAATCACAGCCTCGTCCGGACCGTTTATGTCGACTAAAGTACGGTACGGCCGGCTGTCGTTAAGACGGCGGTATTCGCGTGTTCCGTTGACAATAAAAAAGAACAGGGCGCAACGCGGTAAAGAGATACTACGGTCGGTTTGTCATTGAGAGACAAACAACGGATCGCATTCAGTAGAGCCGAAAGAATGCTCCTTGAGTGCTTCGCTTGGTATCAGTATGCTTCGAACACTTTTTCTCGATGCACTTTGGAACACGCAGCCGGATGGTCCAGTGAGAGAACTTGTTTCTGATTAATTCCCAGAAGCTTGGTTCTCTCATTGGATCATCGGCTGCGTTCCAAGATGCATCGAGAAACAAGTTCTCACGGAACAAGTATTCACTGAGAGAAAGAAAGATAAGAGAAGAAAAAGATATTTGTAACTATAGTCACAGTGGAAGAGTATAGGGAAACTATCTTCTAGTAATTTCTTTTGTTCTAGTTAGTGTTAGAATCATTATATATTTATTATAATGTCAGTGATGATAATCTAGTATGTATTGCTACTATTTTTGTGGTTAAACCATAAAAAGGGTATTGAGTATAAATTGAGTGCACTGATAGAAAATTGTAATTATTCTCCGCGCCAAACATGTTTTATATAGTAGTAATATATAAGCGTGTAAAATTATTATCACTGATATTATAGTCATATTTATCAGCAAATGGTTCTCCTGACTATTTTTTGTGATTTTAATAAAAAAGGGTATGTTAAGCGTCGAAAATAGCTATAATTTTCCCCGAGAATCACGAAAAGTTTAATTTGACCGGTGGATCAACCATCACCGAGGAAAAGGTGGATTTACTCGATCGGTCGGTCGAATGTGATAAGCATGGGGGATGAGGGGAAAAAGTAGGGTACGATGAGAGAGAGAGAGAGAGAGGGAGTTCAGACAAGGTGAGCGCTTTTTGTCGCACGGATGACATAAGAAGAAGAAACCGGTTGTACGAAGCTGATCGAGAAAGTGCGAATCGACTAGTTTATTTCACCTTCGCGGTCTAAGTCATAGTAGATTTCATTTGCCTTTTTTATCGCGGTGCGACCTGGGTCGAGCGAGAAAAAGATCCAACGCGCGACCCGATTCTCGGCGATCCGTGTGATATATCGTCTCCCCCCTCTTCCCCTCAACGCTTCGCCTCCTACGAGCGCCCGCATCGATATTTACCTTCGTATTCGTGGGGTTTGCGAAATTCGTAGCTGCGTTCAAGGTTGGCGTTTTACGCTGCACAGTGCCCGAGACGACACGTAAGTCCCTCAAAACCAGCGGACCGATCGCGGTGTAAATTTATTCGCATCGAATCGCATACATTCCGTCGGCGTAGGTGAAACGAGTCGGCGGTTGAAAAAAAAAATGTCCTCTTTCAGGCCTACGTATGCGACGTATATGCACGTATGAATGCGTATAGGTGTGTGTATGTGACCAAAATCAAGTCGAGAGGCGCTCTCACGTTAATTACCGGGTACTCTCGTGCGGAAACAGTACACGTCCTTTCGGCTCTCACCCTCCTCCCCTTCCTCTCTTTCTCCCTCTCCCTCCCTCCATCTTGAAAAATGTGTCGCGCTCGTGATGATGCGATGTACGGTGTACAATGTCCGTCGTGCATAACTCGCTGATGAATTATTTCATTCCTCCTGCCCGTGATGTCATACGCTATGAACGTCGCTGACGCCTCGATTCAGCAAACGGTATCGCGGTAACGAGTTCCCGGCCTCGTTAAATCTCTCGATGTGAAATTCGCGAACTGCAGAATCTCGCGATACGCCGGAAGCGTAACAACGCGACACGGTATACCGCACATCTTCAACGATAGACTTAACTCTTTGCGGTTCGCGTTTTTTACTCGGGCTCTCTCAGGATGCATCCATTTAAGATTGTATCCGTCGAGAATGAAAGCGCAACTCGCTTTGCACTTGCTTCACATGACCGCGCACCATTTTTTTCTTAAAGGTCTCGTTGTTACGATATAATAAGATTATGTCGGGTTTGTGATTAACAACGTGCTCACTCGGCGCGTGAAAGCACAACGTCCGGGAAAGGTCATTCCGACGCGAGGGAATTAATTATTCAGCGAAGCTATTGTATCAGATTGGTGCAACGGATTTGCCATTTTGTTTTTCAATCCTCATTGAAAGTGTGAGTATTAAAAAATCCTCGTCATAGATGTCTATAAATATACCGAGTCGACGTTGTCTGTCTTATTATTCGTAAGAGCGTATCAGTCCTCCGAAATTGGATGATTTCGTTTTCTACCTTATTTGACGAACCTTTTACTCACGAATCCGATACGAGAGGTCTCGGTGCGAAAGACCACGTATACGCGGATCGCCGATCGATTCACGTTCGACTTAAAGTTCACACACAACGGTAGTCGCGGTGCAGCGTTGAGAGATACCGGCGCTCACAGCCTTCCTCCGGGCGATAAGCAATATTGCCGGTCGCTGCAACACCGCTTATCGAGGT